GAGGGCTCTTCAAGGAAGGATCAAGCACAGGCCTGAAGAAGGGGGCCTGAGAGTATTATGACAGGTAGCCCCAAAGTGGCCTGTGTGGCTTGTGATTAACCAAGCTATAGCCTGGTTGATCACGGTTGGCCCTGAGGCTACTTGGTGCTCTCCCAAATGAAGTGCCACCACAGGAGGGCCAGGAAAGGCTGCAGTCAGCCTGCTACTTCCCTCCACTCGCTCTGTAGAGGGGCCTCATCCAAGCGTGTTCTTTGGGTACAGACCCTCCCCGTGCCCACAGTAGCAGGGGAAGAGAGAACACAGAGAGAAGACTTGACTTTAGCTGGACATGGCATTTGGGAAGCAATTCTGTGCCCCATTCTGATCTGGACCCAGCTGGAAGCTCCAGAAAACTGGCTGAGAGGCCAGGTTTCCCCCACTGTGGCTCAGTGGGTTCTTGACAGGATGGGGAGGCCTGTGAGACTCGGTCCCTGGTGGCCTGTGCCTCCCCAAGGTGGACCTGCTGAGCCACAGCCTGACTTGCCAGCCTGTGCTGAGGTTTCCAGCCTCCAGCAAGCTACCAGGCAGTCCCTCCAACTTAGGACAATTGTGTTTATGAGGTGTTCGTAAGTTAGCTACTTTATTTGGATTGTGGAAAAGCCAGCCTCTGAAGAAATGGGATGCAGAAAGTGGCAAGGCAAGGTCCAGGCCCCATGCTCAGCCCTGTTGGGACTCACTCTGGAGTCAGAGTACAGCAGAGTCTGTGGCCAAACATGACTGGCATCCTTCACCCTGGGGCCTGTCCCTGTCAGACACATGGCTTCCCTGGTGGCCTGCTCATGGCTGGCAAAGAAATGTGCTTGAACGTAGGCCAGTGCCATTGGGTTGTGGCTCAGTTGTTCTCCTTTCTTGTGTGAGCAGTGCCCCATGGGTCACAGGAGCAGTTTTATGAATGCTGGTAAGTGGACATACTTTTTATAGTTTTATAGAAAGCAGTGCTTTATAGGAAGCAGTGATGTGGAAAGGCTGTGTTCATTTAAAAAGAGTTGCTGTAAAGCCATGAGGAAGGTAAATTAGCCAAGATTCCTTAATCTGGTGGCTAATCCACTGATAGAAAATAGTGTCTTGTGTACTTGCTGAAGGGAGCTGATCCTGAGTAGAGGCTGGGGGATGCAGAAACGTCAGAGAAATCCTATATTCCTGAGATAATGTGAAACAGAAACATGGACCTGTGGGCTCAGGGGACCAAAAACTCATTCTGTGTTGTTTGCAGCAGACTGTGGGATTAAGGGGAGTGGTTAAAAAGACAGTTTCTGAGCCTAGAGAGATTGGGAGGAATTTCTTTAGAAATTTCATTTTTTTATGTGGATCAGCTATGTGTGATCCTGGGGACATTAGCATGTCAGACATCAGCATGAGAGGGAATCTACTTTCCTTCCCCTCTGAAGCTCAAGCCTCAAGCTTTCAGTCACTGTTAGACCAGGACTGGGGTGGGAAGGGGAGAAACCAGGCTGTTTTCCTTAATTCCCATCCCTGCTGCCTGCTGAAGCCAGGAGACTTCCTCCCTCCCAAGACCAGCTGGTGGGAGCTGGCACCTCCTGTCTGCCCACCCCACTCTCTCTGCCCCACCATTCTTTTAAGTCCCCCAGGTCCAAGGCCCAAGCTAGGGTGAGTGTTCCTTACCAGCTAGGCAGCCTTGTCCCCAGATACGGCTGCCCTTTGGCCTTGGGGACCTGGGCTGACATGTGCAGGACCTGTGTTCTGTGCATTCTCACAGCATTCAGAGCAAGGCACTTGTCCATCCAGTACTCAGATAACACCTACTGTGTCGGAGCAGGAAGATAGTAGTGAGCAAGAATAAACAAAAACCCCTGTCCTCGGTGCTGGCATTCAGACTGACTGATGGCAGGCAGTAGGCCGCTCAAGGGCCAGCGTTTATACCCTCTGACAGGAAGTTTCCTGTACCACAAACCGTTAGGTGCTGGGCAGTGGCTGGGGTCAGGAAGTAGAGGCTTGGGTGGTGGGAAGGGCTGGGCTCAGACCAGCAACCTCTGTCCCCAGGGTGCTGTGCTGGCTCCTCTGGCTCCCCCGTCACCCCTGACGTGTGGCAGCAGGCTAGCTGGGACACTATCAACAAGGCAGGGCCCTGTATGCATGCACATATGTGAGCACACAAGCACATGCACACACACAGACATACACCAGGAGACAAGTCAGAGTTGGGGTAGGCGGCGGGGGCCAGCAGCCCCGCTTTGTTTTGATAGCTCACAGAACCCCACAGCAAAGAGATTCCCCTTTTATTGCATCTGTTTTAGATCTTTAGAATCTGAGTGAAGTCAAAACCATGCTATAGGGGAGATTAATTCCACATTTTCCATCTTTTTGAAATGAAACCAAAGGAAAGTTAGACATTCTGTACAGCACAGTTGAGATCAGGGGTATTGAGCCAATGGGCAGCCCCAAGACTTTCCCCGACTTTCCCCCGCCTGGCACAAGTGTCCCCAGTTGTGTGACTGGGTGACTGTGTCGCTGTCTCCCTGAAACCCAGGGCAGCTGGAACCCCCCATACCCTGCAGTAATCAGGCTCCTATGTTGGCAGGGAGGGGACTGAAGAGCCCCAGTCTCCCCAAGGAGACCTCCTGGGGGAGCCCAAATCAACCACAATCTGGGATATGATTAAAAGGAACTTTTCATCATAGGAGAACTTTAAGAAACAGCTGACTACCACAGGCATCAATGGCTGAGAACCTCCCAAACCTGACCATATCTTTGGGGCCCTCATCGAGTTGCATCTATGCCCAGGGCTCCCCCAGCATCCCACAGCTGAGCCAGGGCAATGGCTGGGGGAGTCATGTTGCTCAGGGCATACCCTTGTGCTCAGCCTGACACAGAACAAGTGTTACATACATATTAGCTGTTAATAGGAATATTGCAGTGGCTCTATGAGAGTTGCATTTGACAGGCAAAGAAACTAAAGCCCTGAGTCACATAACTTGTCCAAGGTCACTCAGTAAATTAGTGGTCAAGTTCACATTGGAACCCAGGCTGTACAGCTGAGGAGCCTGTGTTCTTAACCATATAGGACAAAGGTTCCCCACTGGGCATCAACTGATGGCATTTTCCAAGGCCCCATACCCATACTGCAGCCATACCATGCCAGGAGGGGAGGAGGGCAGGCCTGGGACCACTCGGGCTTGGGCAAGGAGGTTCCTTGGGGGTGAAGAGCTGGAGTGGGCCTTGGGTAGGTGGTGTGTGGGGGGGGCAGTAGTGACAGGTGGCAAAGGACCTGGATGGTTACATGAATGCCACGCCATGGGGCCTGGCCTTTATTTTTGAGTTCTTGGGTGGGAAAAGGATATGGAGGTATAAGGAGGGCAGGGGTGAAGGGTGACCCAGGAGCAGAGCAAGGGGAACAGCCAGGAAACTAAGGTGTGGGGATGGGAATTGAGAGGAGAAGGCAGGAAGTGAACCTGAGTGCTGAGGGGAGCAGCTTGGGCCTCTAGCCCTGACTGGACGTTAGGAGACCTCATGCCAGAAGGAGCCCAGCTGGGGTAGGGGTGGCCTGCCTGAGTCTGGCAAGAACGTTGCTCTCAGCAGAGCCATGACATGACTGCCCCAAGCCAGCCCAACATACCAGCCAGAGGGGCCTGGGCTAGCCTGGCCCTGCTGTGCCCTTCATCCTAGCGCCCTCTCCCAGGCTTTAACCCAGGTCCTGCCTCTTTCTTTCAGTGTGTATGGCGCCCTATCTTGTTCCATTAGACATTGACGCCCAGGTCTCCTGGCCTCCCTACTAGACTGCCAGCCAGGGCCGTTGTAGCTACCCTCACCTCTGTACCCCCAGCCCAGGCAGAGTGCTGGGTGAGACACATGGCTAGACATCGGCATTATGCCACCTCCGTCCTTCCATGTGGCCCAGCCACCCTGTCCATCTCCACGCCACCTATGTTCCAGCTCATAGGGGAGCCCCAGGAGGGAACCTTGACCATAGAAACCAGTGCCATTCACCGAAGAAGGCCTGGGCACCACTTAGGGCTCCACGCAGAGCAGGACATGGACATGGGGAAGTGCCCTGGCCCGTGGGGAGATGAACAGGGGACTGCTGAGAAGAAAGTCTTCCCCAGGGCCAAGGGGAGTTGGGCATCAAGTAGGGAAACGTTGAGTGAGGCCTGCACATGTGGAAGTATTTTTAAGGATCTAGCCAAATATCTGAGAAATGCAGATAAAGTGGCTGACTGATCACCCTTGTTCTTTCCTCCCTCTAAAATGTCATGTGCTGTCAGGGGTGGTGGAGCAGCTTTGCCACCAGCCAAGACAGGACTGGTGCTGAGGCCACATCAGTGCCTGGAAGCCCTGAAGAGCCAGGGTCTCGTTTTGCTGCCTATGGTGGGTCCTGACGAATGTGTGGAGTGAATGATGTTGGGTGCCCCCGAGGAGGAGGAGGTGAGGGCCTGTGGGAGTCCCATAGCCCCTGGGGTTTTGGAGAAGTCATGGCTTCAGCTTCCCTGCCATGTGTGCACATGGGTGCTTGAGGGAGGCCTTCAGCAAAGGTGGTGACAATAGTGGCTCTGGGAGGAGGAGCAGCTACGGGAAGGGACCTGGCCCTCAGGGAGCACCCTTGGTCTGTGTTCTGAAGTGCCAGTCCACTCCCTTCTCTTTTACCACTTATAGGACCAGGTGGTTTTGGTCAATTTCTGGGCCAAGCCTCTTCTCCCAGAGTTCATTCTGGAACCAGCACTCTATAAACTGGCCACAGACATGAGGGTGTACCCTCCTTCCTGGCTGTCTCTGCTCAGCCCTGTAAGCCTAGTAAGGCAGTACAGGGAGTGGAGGTTTGCCCTTCCCTTCCCTTTTGTGCTGAGGGCCGTTTGTGGCCACCGTATCTCTCTTCCCTGCTCAACCACTCAAGGCCAACCACACTAGCCTCCTGGCAGTTCCAAGAATGTGCCTCAGGGCCTTTGTGCATGCTGTGCCTTATACTCAGACAGCACTTGCACTGGCCCATCTGTGTTCTTTCCTGACAGAGGCCTTCCTCAGAGTTAGAGCTCTCCTTCCCAGGTCTTGTGGCCCCGCATCAGACCCAGAGCAGGTGAGTGAGCTGTGGCAGGAGCCTGGGCTACCCTCCGAGCTGCGTCCCCGTGGGCCAGACATACACGCTGCTCTAGTTGTCTCTGCCTTCGCCCCAAACACCAAGTGAGAAGGGGGTGAAAAAGAGGCCTTGAGAGGAAACAGAAATGAGAACTAAGAGAGCTGAGAGAAAAATCCAGGACAACCCACCTCAAGAGGAAACCAGGCCAGGGAGAAAAGAGGCCTGTAGGGCTGAAAGAAGGGGAGGTCAGACAGGGAGAATACGGGGAGGCTGGGGAGTGGGTGGTAAGCAGGAGAAAGGAGGGACAAAAGAAAGGCCACACAGCCCAGGGAGAGTGCTAGGCGTCTGGAATGAGGGAGAGAACGTGGGCATGAGGACCGTACATGGCTCCACAAGGCGTTAGGGGCAGCTGGGTGAGTCACGCCTGCCTTCCTCGCTGCCTCGCTGAGGGTCTCTTGCTGGACCTCTGCAGAGCCCATAGGGGTGTCACGCTGCCCATGCTCCTCACCAGTGGCGGACTCACTGCAGAGGCCCTGCAAACCCCCTTTGGCCTCTCCCCGGTGCCTGAGTCGCACACCGCAGGGGAGCTGAGGCTCTCCCCTCGGCCATGTCGGAAGCTGAATGGAGAAACATAATCCCGAGCTTTGTCGCATGCAGGACACCCGAACTGGCCACTTTCAGCATGGAGGACAATGTGGGAGCTGCCTCAACTGTTTGGCTCCCGGAGCCCCATGGGGCCCATGGCAGGCCTTCAGCAGACACCTAATAGCTTGATGCTGGTAGAGAAAGAGGCATTTGAGGTGGTGAGGTACAGAGTAGAGCTGGCTGTCAGAATGTCCCCAGTGTTGTGTTCCTTTTCCACTTGGAATTGGGGACCCAGGTGCCAGACATGTCTCTGAGGATTGGCATTTTGGTGCAACTTCTTTGGGCATCACTACAATCTTTAGGGGACTAAAAATAAAAGCCTGTCACTTTAAAATCAGTTCTTTTTATACTATGCTCGGAAGGCTCTTTAGGGTGTTGCATAAAACGTCTTACACGTCTTGAACTGTGAGTGAGAGAAGAGGCACTCACCCTGTTAATGTTGCCCCAATAGGAGATGGATCACAATGTCTTCTCTCCCCTGAGCAGGAAAATTAGGATTCAGATAGAATGTCATTATTTGGCCTCTCCTGGGAGGATTTTCCTTGGAGAGCACAGGCGGGTGAGTAATGCTAGAAACCCCGCCTCTTGGCCTGAACTCCTAGACCCGCTGTCCAGCTACGGAGAGCCAGCCCAAGCTGGCCTCCACCATGCTCTTGCTTTTGGTCCCCAGCACCGTGTCATGGCCCAACCCAGTTTGGGTCACCCGGGTTGGGGCATCCCTCCCTCGCCATTGAGGAGCCAGGCTGCTTTCCAGGGGTTGTTAGTGGCATCGCTGACATCATCCTGAGCCCACAGGCCCTGTGCTCGCCAGCACCGGATGCTTATCCCGGGCATCCAGGGGCCTCATGGATTCACTGTCCTCTTGCCCACCCACCCGCCCCCAGTCTGCCTGGCTGCCCCATAGTGAGGATCTCAGCAGTAGGAGTCTCAAAAATGCAAAACAACTCTGCTGCTGGCTGACCACCCATGCCTGCCTGGTCCTCTCTCTGGGGGGTGTCACGCTCAGCCTGTCCCATCTGGAACCCATCTTCTGCCTCTCCCACAGGGCCAAGCCCTCGGCCTGTGTTCTCAGCCTCAGGGAATGTCTCCTTCTCTCTTGGATCCCCTGTCTGACTCACCACCAGGTGGTGTTGGTTCATTCTTTGTGGATACCTCTGATTTTGACCACTTTCCTCCCTAGCCCCCACCTCTGCCCTGACCAGCCAGAGCCACCATCATGCCCTCTCATCTCTTGCCTCCACCTTCCCACAGCCACCCAGTCAATCCTAGGTCATCCCCACGTAGCAGCCAGAGGGGTCTCAAACCTCTTAACCTAGGACCCCCGCCAGGACCCCCCTGCTGCTCTGAGGGTAAAGATGGAGCTGCCTGGTGTGGCCTGCTGGGCTCAGCCCCATCTCTTGCCTTCTGGGAGGCCTGCTGTCCTCATCAGCACATGCACCTCCTTTGGTCCAGCCCTCCTGCCCCATACCTTGCCTCCTACTTCAGGGCCTTCGTACACTCTTCCTTTGGTCCTGACACTTTTCCTGCCCCTCTGGCCTGAAGAACTCTTCCCCAGCCTCTGCTCGCTCCTCACCTTTTGCTCTGGCAAAGTGCCACTTGCTCTGGCTCTGATCAGGCCAGACCCCTGCATTCTTCCCAGCATGGCCCACTGGCCTGTATTTGTGTCCTTGAAGCAGCATGTACCTTGTGGGCCCAGCTGAGCCTGTCTGTACCATTGTCACCCTTGGTCAGCATGAGGAGGTGTTCAGTAAGGATTTGAGTGAGTTAAGAGAGTCTAGGGTAGGGGTCAGCAAACTTTTCCTTAAACAGTAAATATTGTAGGCTTTGTGAGCCATAGAGACTTTGTCACAACTACTCAGCCCTGCCCTTGTAGCCAGAAAGCAGCAATAGACAATACATAAACCAGTGGGCATGACAGTCAAACTTTATTTACACAAATGGGCATCAGGCTGTAGTTTGCCAGCCTGTGGTCTAAAGAAACAACAGAATGCATTCGATGGCAAACACTGTCTTGAAGACCAAGGTTTTCTATGAGAAGGGCCATGGTTTCCTGGAAATTGCTGTTAACAGAGTAGGAAAAGGTGGTTAAGAAATGAGATCCCGGGTGACCCTCTAACAGTTGTGACTTTTTTTTTTTGTTGTTGTTTTGTTTTGTTTTGTTTTCTTTTTTTTTTCGACAGCAGCCTGTATCTGTAACAGTTGTGACTTTGAAGGTAAAATTTCTGGAGCCCTGACCACACCCCAACAGGCTCCCCAACATGAGGGCCCTGAGCCTGGGAGGGGAACAGTATTAGGTAAGGGTGATAGTACCCAGGTATGGGGTCCTCATTTTGGCTTCCTATTGCTCCAATTGAGGGAGGGAGGTGCTTGTTTAAAGTCGAGCCCAGTCTTTGAGGGAGGATGAAGCACCTAGCATTGACCTGGGCAAATTCCACAGCATGTTTTGGAGCTGATCACTTATGCTACAGCGACACAAGCAGCCCAGTGAAAGAGGCCTTCCAAAATGAAGGTATTAGGGTAGTTTCTCACTGTGTATATATCAAGAGGTTCTTGTCAGTGTGTCCTTTTTGTTCCTGTAATATTGCCTTTTCATGGCTCAAGTGAATTATTCTTAGGACTTTTGTGATAATTCCAAACCTAAATGTTTAGCCAGGTAAGAGACTCTGCTTTTCAGGGGGAGGTGACATCCGAGGCCTGGGAACTGCCTCTGAGAGTGGCCTGATGGTGTAAGGGGGATGCTGGGTGGCCCTTGGCTATGCAGTCCCACCTCGGTCTGGAGGTGGGGAGCTTCTGCTTATTCAATCTGGAGTGGCTAGGCCAGGCGACCTAAAGGACGGTAGGAGGTAGCCCCCACTGGGGAGGGCAAATTTCTCCTTAGGCTGCTTGGGTTTGGGCATTAGGGCTAGAAGTGGGAGGTTGGAGACAAGCAGGTTTCCTGGGGCCACATGACCAGCAGGCTTCTCCTCAGGTATGCTTGATGACGGGGACAAAGCCAAGATGCATGCTACCCAAATGCTTTAGCGTGCACTCTGAAGGAGTTCTAGGAGATGGGCCATCCTCCCTGGCCACCTTGCCTGGACAGGCCTACCCAGAAGCCAGAGCCCTGAGTTCTCCAACCCTTTCTTCAGTTTTCCTTTACCCTGTCCAAAACTCAGAGGCCCATGGACACCTGTGTCAGCCAGGGCAGTTTCCCTCCTTGACACCTGGCACCTGACCCAGCCTGTACCTCTTTGGGCTGGGACCAGACCTATGGCCCCTGCTACTCTGTACAGAGCAAGGCAGGAGGCAGTGTGGGTCACAGGGCTGCTTGGAAGGTCATTCCTCATTGAATAAAAGAAAGTGAAGGGATGTGGAGTAGGGACTCAAAGATGGCAGAGGGGTTTGCCTGTGAAGTGCTTCTCCTCGCCCTCCAGGGCAGGTGTGGCCTTGTCTCCAGTCTGTCAGGCATTGTGTGGCAGGAGGAGAATTCCTAGGCAGGCAAGCACAAGGCAAGTCAAGTAGCAAGCAGCCTGAATGACTGGGCCTGCTGGGGGTGGGTTGCCAGCATGGCCCCAGCTCCGCTGCACATGGCAGTGGGCAGCAGGGGGAACGGTAGCGGCCTCTGGACACCGAGGCAGCGTGTATTTGCTGAGAGCCCTACTGTGCTCTTGACACTGCTGTGGGGATGTCTCACCCTTTGTTGCTCTGATCCGACAGGAAAAGGTCACACATACTACAAACAAAGCCACATGATGCGGCCCCAAATCAGTGTTTGCCAGGGATGCAATGACGTACGTGCCCCACATGCTGTCCCAGATGCTCTCTTCTCCACCCATAGGGCCCTGTGCAGCCAGGGGAAGCACAGTTGCACTGTGGTGGCCTGGGCAGGCTCCCTGCAGGTAGCTGCCAGCCTTCCTGCCTGTCTGCGCCACCAGCCCTGAGTGTGTCTGCCCTTTCCCATTTGGATGTCCCTGATGGGGGCCCTAACTGGGGGAGCCCTTTCCCTTGTAGAAGGAAGGCACATCAGCAAAATTTGAGGATGGGATTTCCAGGTTTCGTGTCTTCATGAAGGATAACCATTTTCTGTGAAAATGAGGCCCCATGCTTTACTGGAGTAGGATTATTAACAAAAATACATGGAGCAGAGAATGCCGGACAGCATTCTAATGGACAGAAATCCAAAAAGCATCCTCTTCTTCCCAGCCCTCTTCCAGCTCATAGGGGGTTGGTGGGATCAAAAGTGGCTGAGGAGTGCCCAGTGGACTTATACCTGATGATGGTGGTCACCACCTGGCGCCTTGGCAGAATGGGCTGGTGGGCAGAAGGGACAGGGGAAACAGACCAAACACAGAGATTACATGTGTCTCCCCAGGCTTGGTTAGGCAGGGGAGAAGCTGGAGAGTGGCAGGGAGGGGAGGTATAGGATTGAGGGGTGGTGGACTTTTTAAAAGCCTGTTTGTCTATAACATGCCCCCTCAAAGCTCAGAAAGGAAGGGCCCCACCTGGACTGGCACCCTTCATCCAGGGGCTGGTTGAGAAATAGATGATGCTTCTCTATTCAGAGAATTTAATATCGACAGATGTAACGGGCACATCCCTACAAGTATGGGCCCTCCATGGAACTGGCCTGACACAGCACCCAGTTTTCTGGGCATACTGTGTCCACGTTCAGAAAGTAGGTTCCTGTGAAAAAGTTTTGTAAGAAATAGAAGAGGAAAAGCAGCAGGCTCAGCTCTCCCACTGTGGCCTTGAGTTCAGGGCCATCGGAAAAAGTCTGGACGGAGAATGATTTTGGCTCTGTGTGAGTTTCACAGCAGCCAGTGGAAACTTCCAGGAATGCTGCCCCAGGCCAGCCGGGGGCTGTTTCCGCCGCCACTTTTACGAGATGCAGAGCCCCCTCCCCGGCTGGCTGGCCAGCACAGGGGGGCTATAATAGTCTTTCTCAGCTCAGCTTCTCAGAGTGCAGTTCATGTTCCATGGGCAGCCGTTTTGCCAGGCTCTGTTCTGTGATCCCTGGTTCAGAGCCCTCACAGCCCCCACCAGCTCATTTGAAGGGGCCAGCCACCAGGCGGAGCACCCTCCATGGCAGCTGACATCCCTGCAGGATGCTGTGAGAATTTATAGCAGCCTTAGAGGGGAAACTCCCTCCCAAAATGTTTCAATGTTTTATTAAATGTATGAAAGGAAAGTTTCCTTTCCACTGGACCAAGGCCCAGAGCCTTCATGCAGCCCTGGGGAATCGGGCAAAACCGCTTGGGAGAGTCCACAGGTGAAATGAATCTGATCCTTCTGCAGCCTGTAGGCCACACCGTGCAAGACTCAAGCCTGCCGTGTTCCCAGTGGACTCGTCCAGTGGCTGGTGTGGGCCTGGCATTTCCTCAGTGAGGGCAGTGATGTGATGGGCAGAGCCGTCATGGGCAGTGTGAGCCAGCCCCTCTTGTGGGACACAGTGGGCTCCTAGATACCACTGCCCCTCGGTCCAAAGCCAGGGGAGGTGGGCAGGTTTTTGCAGCTTGTCTGGGAGCCCTGTCTGCAAGACTGGCCCCTGAAGCATTAGCAGCACCAGCAGCTGGGGGCATTTGGCAGGCCAGGTGGCAATGTCCACAGGCATGCTCCCATTGTGCTGGGGGTGTAAGACCAGGGGAGTAAGGGCTCAGCCTGAAGAAGGCAACATGACAAGCATGGTCACAGTGGCCAATGTAGGCCAAGCTGAGCGAGCACCTATGCTATGAGCTTGGCATTGTCCTTCCCACTCAGACAAGGAAATGGGCTCAGAGTTGTATTGTCATTGGCCTGTGATTGCCCCAGGTTTAACTCCTAGATGGCACATCGTAAGATAGTCCTCATTGGACTTGGACAGGC